TACGACTACGACCATTGTAGACAGAACCGAGAATCATTGTAGCGGAGGCTTTAGGCTGCGTAGAAGTTTGCTCAATGCGCGTGCGCGAATAATCCATGCGATCTCCCATCAATCCAATCCCGAGGACCAAAAATTTCTCTTCTAGGTTAGAAGACGTGCTCGACGTTCACTCAACGTCCCGAACGGAACTTTCCGAGTTAAGAAGAGGTTAGATTAGAAAGAAGAGACTGTGTACAGAAAGGAGAGGAATAAAAAGAAATAAAATGTCACTCTTTCCTGCTTATTCGAACGACAAAACCGTATCGGCAAATTGCGGCGACACAGGTAATCGCTTCAGAATTCAACCAATGTTTACATCGTGCAGACAATTAAAGTGAAAACAAATATTGCAGTAATTTGCCTTTTTCTTGCTCCGAAATTAACATCTCTCTGATATTCGTGTTGTATGATTCAATTTCAGGTAATGTTGCCACCGAGTGGTTATCGAATTCAAGTTTTCAAACGCAAATCCCCAAAAGGGAGCCTCCTGATCAGTTCTCCTCGTCGGACGAGTCTCTGCATGAACCTTCGCTTAATGCGGAAAAGCAAGCACCACCTGAAACAATCCCTGGTTGCACAAAGGTACACGAGAGGCCTAGAGCTCACAAGGAGCAGAGAATTGAAAAGAAAAGATGTGCGCGCGACAGTAAACGGCACAAGCCAGGGTATGAGCTGGACGTCAAGAACGTGTACTTTGAAGACAGGCGTAGAGATAAAGGGAACAACAACATAGATACATTCTGTTCGAGAGTGAGACCGTATTACAATGTCGGTGAGAAATCGCTCTGTTACGTTAAGCGCAAGCAACCGAAGAAGGATCCGTGTCGCAGATATTACACGAGGAACATCGACTCTGCAGAAACGGCGACGAAGGATACGGTCATCAAGAGGACGAGCGAGAAAGGAGCCTCGGTGAAGCAGCAGGAGGACGCAAACGAAAGCGCGCCTTCTTGGTGTAAGAACTTGGAAGAGGAGCAGAAATCCAAAACTCGCGAATATAACAAACAACTGACGGAAGATCCGCATAATGTTGAACTCTGGTTGCAATACGTTGACTTTCAGGTGCTTATTAAAATATTCCCTGTGCACTTTCATTATTAAAACAAAGGAAAGCTCGTCTGTTACGAGATAGGATTGTAATATGAGACAGTAGGTTTTCAACGGCCAAATTCAATCTTTTTCCGCAACGATTGTGCGACCTAACAGTCAGTTTTTCACCAAACAGCTTTCACTTCAAGGGCAGTAAATTTATGGTGGAGCCAACGGACGGTGCCTGTTAATTTGGCAGAAACTCCGGCTGTCTCATAATAGGAGACTCTCCTCTATCTGCCGTGTTAAATGTATGTTGCACAAAGTTAACAATATTTTAATATAAATGTTGCAGGATACCCTGGCTTATTATCAGAGACACCAATTGGCTAAAGATACGCATCGATCTACAGTATTGAAAAAGTTATCTATCGTTGAGAAAGCGCTTGAGAAAAATGCAGATTCCACGGAATTGTTAAAATTGAAGCTACACTTCATGACTGAATTAACACCGTCTGACGAGCTGTCGAATCAATTGGAGGCGTTGGTTAATAAAGATTCGGGGAATCTTGTGTTGTGGCAGCATTTTATCATGGTCACCCAAGCGTCAGTGGCGATGTGTACTGTACCACGAGTTTTGGATTTGTATTCAAAGTGCTTCGGCATTCTGAGGCAACGCTCGAGAACAAATCCTTCTGTCTACGATTCGCAGTTGTTGCGTAAGTAGTCTTACGTTACGTAGGTTGCACCGATACTTAAATTTTATTATACCTATATTTCTCTCATACCCACACAGCACAGAAAGATTGCAGGAAGATTGCAGAAATGTTACATTGCAAGATTGCAATATTGCAGCAACGTTGCGCAACATTGCTGCAACGTTGAGATGTCCTCCCTCAGAGAGATTGCAGTGCAACGTTATAGCAATGTTTCAGTGCAATATTTTTGGAATAATTTGTTGTACATAATGGGTAGCCCCATACAGCACAGATGGTTGCAGTTATATTGCAGAAACGTTGCAATCTTGCAGAGACATTGCAGGGATATAAAATTGCAAACTTTCGATAGCAATGTTGCAGCAATGTTTCAAAAATAATAAAAATACTATATTTTCTATTTAAAAAATTTCTCTAGTTACGAGAATTTTATAATGTTATTTTCGTTGATACCAATAATGCGCGAATTATTGAGTACTTGATCAGTGCGGTGTTGCTCGCAATCTCCATCTATTGCGAAGCGACATAATCTCCTTAGGTTGCTTCGCAATAGCTTGCTGTGTATTGAAAAAGGCCCGGATGCATATGTAATAAGTAAATTATCTGCTTATGTACAACAACGACAAATTATTCCAAAAATATTGCACTGCAACATTGCTGTAATGTTGCACTGCAATCTCTCTGAGGGCGGACATTTCAACATTGCTGCAATCCTCCAGAAACGTTACAGCAATGTGGCGCAACGTTGCCGTAATATTGCAATTTTGCAATGTAACATTTCTGCAATCTTCCTGCAATCTTTCTGTGCTGTGTGGAAGCTAATTAATCTGATGCCTTGCGTTTCCTCTAGATATGCTGTACCAATGCTTGACTTTCCTGAGGCATACAGGATTATGGGAGCAAATGTGGGAAACAATACGTTTAAATCTGAATTTGAATCTGAACTTGAACAAGGCCAGTTTATCCTTTCGAGGGTCCATAGATGAAAAAAAATTAAGTAAGTATATGTCTATTATTATTGTTGTAAGTTATATTAAAAGTAAAAGACTTCTATTAAGCATTATTTAAATTGCAGGAGAAACAAATGTTTCAAGTTATTTATGCCAAATTATTGACATATAATAAATTATTGGCAATTATTCGGGAGGTAAATGTAATGAAAAATACTGTACATATTACATATGTATATAATAAGTATAGGATATCTAATAATTTTCCAAAAAGCTTAACAGGAGTCTTGCGATGTTACTGAATATATCGCTGATTATTATAACAGCACTGATTTTCAGTTGGAATGGAAGAAGTGATATTAATGTCGCGATTACCACTAAATCAACTGTGGCAACGAACAGAGTCGCTAAGAGAGAATTGCCATTGGATTAGCGTTAATAGAGACGAGTTGGAATTGGTGGGAGATTCCAGAAGATTTATTGTGCCAGAAGACGTGGCGGACTTTGTGCATCCGATTCTCTCTCGCAATTCAAACTTTCAAATGGCCATCTATTCTATTTTGTGTCTGAAAGTACCGCTTCTACCTTGTCGAGATCACTACATGAAAGTAAGTGACATTGTCTCTCGTGTAAAACCTACAAATGCGATTGCTTGCAAAACACATATTTACGAAGAAGTTAAAAAAAATTGAGATTATGGAATTGCGCCAGAAGAAATAATGAGAAACTTTTTATATTTTTATAGGAATTGTCATTGAAAAACTTCCATTGGGGAGTAGAATCTTTGGAAGCGCTGCTTCCGTTCATGTACCCTATGGTAGGTGAAATGGCTGGTCACGATCAAAGGAAGGAATTATTGAAGGATGTTCTCGAAGGACGTTTAACGTCAGGTCCTCAATATCTCAAGTTCCATCCGGCGCAGGAACCGTACCTAGATTTTGTGCGCAAGACATTTCACACAATCGCGGAAAGTTTGCCTCCGCTGCAACGAACAAGCATATATGTCTGGTGGTTGCGACTGGAGAGGCTACTGGTTTCTCTCGGCAAAGACGAATCTTTAAAACACGATAACAAGTAAGACCCGAGTTTGCTATTAAGATCTAACAGTTTTACTTCCTTATGCGAGATTAATGAATTTTGTTTGGTATTGCAGAGAAAAGAAATTAAGGGCGACATTGAAAGAATTTTTGAAAGGGAATGAAAATAGGAATAACTTGTATTTCTATAAGGAATACGCCCTAATAGAACTCGAAATGGGCCGATTCGGCAACTGCATGAATATTCTCGAGACTGCCATTCAGTCTCAAGGGACATGTCCGTCTGCAATTACCGACACGTGTGAAAGGGCGGCACTTTTTAATGTATATAGAACATTTATCGAAACCTTGCTTGATATTAGAACGTATAGCGAGTCGCACAGACAATGGATACTAAAAGTCTTCGGTCAAATGGTACCCGGCGGAAACGAAAATCAAGAATCACCGATTGAAGCGTATTTGCATTCGTGTGTGCAAGATTTTCTGCAAGTTCCTCCCAACGTGAAGGAAAAGGACACCTTTTTCTTGTCCAACTTGGAGTGCGACGCGATCGTATGCTACGTATATTTCCTGTATATTAAAGACGGCGATATCCAAACTGTTGTCGACACATTGAGGAACTGTATCGACCATTCCAAGGATTATCCTTACTTACAGGTACCAATTTAATATTCTGCGAATGCGCAGAAAATTGCTACTGGTAGATAAGCGTAAATTAAAATAGTTATATACAATTTTAAAATTGTAGGAAATGTTGTGCGAGAGTCAAATTGCAATTCTGCAGCTGCATCAGGAACGGACTCGGAGTATGCAGACTGCGTTGAAAGAAACTCTAAGCAGGACTTTAAATATATACCCGAATAACTTTTACGCTTTGTCTGTATTTGCTGGCATAGAGGTAAGAAGCATTGCGTCGCATTAACGTTCCTAAAATGATAATAGAATTACATAGGAATAATTATTGTTTCAGAGTGAATTGCCTACCTGGAGATTCAACAGTAGAAGCACAGAGATCGAACTGTGGCGAGCTATGGCGATGTGCTTGGCGGCTCGTAGACGTATTGGCCTCCTAGCGAAACTTAATCATTCGGACGCAGTAAATGCCGCGCTGAACAAGCTATTATCGTTTCATCTAACACTCTCCAGGTACAATATAATTTTTATAAGATATTCACTTAAAGAACTTAAATGTTATCAGATCTGTGTTGTATTGAATAAAATTGTTTTCAGGCTGCGATCAACCCACCGTTGCCCGTTGCTGTGGAGACTGCACATGCTCCTTCTGCGCGAGCATAATTTATGCGAGAAAAAGGGGGAAGAGATTTATCACCAGAGCGTCACGCAGTGTCCATGGGCAAGAAGCGTTTACATAGACGCAGCTGAGGTAGCGCCTCAGCTTCTCACTCAGATCCAAGATCTGATACGCGAAAAGGAATTAAGAATGCACGTCACACCCGAGGAATTGGATATTCTTCGCGGATAAAATATAATTGTCCAATCATGTTTATAGAAGAAAGTACAAAACTGTCTTACGTATATTTCGTAATTTATACGTTACCCCCTAATGTGGCGAGGTATACTTACGGAAGAATAGCTGCTTTCCTTTTACACTTAAGTGATACTGAGTCACTTAGTTATGTGAGCACACGGTCTTGATCGTGTGCAAAAACTCAGTTAAATCTGGTTGAATCTCACTTCTCAAGAATCAAAGGGAACATGCATTCAACTGAGTTATGACGGCTCAAGTGAGATTTATCTGAGTTTTCATGTAAAAGGAAAGCAACTTATATTTGAATGTATCGTGTAACGTGCAAGTTGGAGACACCTGAGAGATAGAAAGTGTAAATAAGAGATGTAATAAAATGTACAATTCTCATTTTCATGTTGCAATAAAACATATTCGATCATGCGATTCTCAGCTTCATATTTAAAATAAATTGCTTTGGAAACAATATATACAGGGTGGGCCAAAAGTCTGGATACACCCTAATATCTCATAAACTATA